AAATACCGGTTTGTAGGTTAGCTTACCAGTCTGTCTTGGTAAAATTACCAATAATTGGTAAAAAAAAGTGGGATGGTAAAGGTACCAACGGACCTTGGTAAAAACGCCGAGAATTTTTTTTTAGTGGGATAAAGATCCTTGTAGGTAGAACTTTCATTCGAATGTCAGGGAATTTGAAAGTTTTGGAGTTAGGAACAAGCGAAAATAGCCTGGGAAAGTCAGGGAATAAGAAAATGGAGAAATTATGGGAATCTTAAAAATTAATCGGTTATTTAATCGAATAACATGCAAATTTTGAAATTCTGAATTTTTTAAAAAACAACCTGTACCCATGGGACGTCCGTCAGGGCTCCCAGGTGTAAATCAGCATGTGGCATTTGAGAGTGAAAATCATGTGTGCTGAATATTTTTTATGATAATTTCTTAAATTAGGCAAAATTATATCCGTAATTCCTCCTGAGATCCTGAGACTCCATAAAGTATCAGATTTGTCGGGTTTCTAGCTAAAACTTATCAAGGCTTCGTGCTAATTTTTAAAAGTTCGACATGAATCGGGAAGCTTTCAATCATTACTATCATTACTGAGCTCTGTAACCCCCTAAATTTTCAATTTTTCGTACAGTTTGCTCTAACGTTCCACGAAGCCGCTTTCATGGTTTTTAGGCGCGAAGCAGCCTATAGTGGGTAGGCCGCGTAGCGGCCCGGAAACGTACCCCTTTAAGTCAATGAAACAGTTAATCGTAATTTTAACATTCGATTAATCGATTAATTAATCGTTAATCGAGATAATCTATTCTGGATGTGTTTAATGGCGTCGAAGGGGTTAAGCGCCGCGGTAATTGGCAGCTTCTTAGCCGCTGAAATCTGACGGACTTTCCTCGTTGCAGTCCCTTTGATGAGCTCCAGCCCGCGACGTGGGATGCTGCGGGGTTGGCAGCGCCTGAATGGCCCCTCATTAGTCCCTCGCAGGGACCGGCGCAGGGGTCGAAGCATCTTCAAGTTATTATCTGACGAAACGCCAGACCGATGAAAGCCGCGGTCGTCACGATCACAAAGGCGCGAGCGATGCAAAGCGATTGCGGCGTAAATCGAGTTTATCACCCCGCGGGGTCGAGTGGGGAGGGGGTGGGTCGGGNGGGTCGGGGTGGGGTGGGGTTGGGGTACCTGAGAGTCCCGTCCCTGGGGAGTACTTGAGAAAGTTCGGGTGCAACTTCAACACGTTCGAAACTAATCTGGACGCTCGAAGGGATGAAAGCTCCGGCCCGGATTCGGAGGAATGAAAAGCCTCGGAATCGGGAATTCGGGATGCAAGGGCGAGAAGTTAGCGAGGCATAAGTTGTGTTCAATGGCCACTCATTGGGATAATTCAGTCGGGGATGTTTCGATGGAGTGATTTAGCGGGTAAGGGGAGTATTCAGAGTCGCTTCGTAAACAGTTCCTTTCCGATGGCTCCATATGGTACATCGTGATGAAGGAAGTCCTTAGAATAGCATCATAAAAAAAACTAATTTTGCCAACTTCTTTCAAATTAACCGGTATAACTTCGGAAATGAATTCCTGAAAATGGATTAAAATGTTCTACTACTGCAAACATACAGATTATGGAAGAAATTATTTTGCGGGCCTTATCAATTTTAAGGTAGGTTCGCGCCTACTGCAAATTTTGTCAAAATTTAAGAGTTCTTTCTTCCATATACAGGGTGATCAAGGGTCAAACGGCCAGACTGCAGGAGCCGAAACACCCCCAAACCTCCTCTTTAAATTGAGATTTCGATTTTTTTAGATCATTTATGAATTCAGGGTATAAAAGTACAGGAGAGTACACATTTACATGAGATTTGGTTCACAGCCGTTGCCAAAATTCAGGAAAAACGATTTAATTTCCGAAATTGTGGGGGGGCCGTTGCTCCGACTGGGGGCCCTTTTGGAAAAACTCATTATACAACTCTCTTATACAACTTTTAAACAGCAAGAAAGTCTAATTTTGACCCATAGAACACGCTCTTGCAGTCTGGTCGTTTAACCCTGGATCGCCTTGTATTTTGTACTTTTTGAGGTGGCAAATCATCGTAATCCTTTGTAAAGATCCAAGTTCAAAGTTCCTGAATTTTACTTTGGCGAGAATATTGTCCTTTTTATGATACTATTCTGAGGGTTTCCTTAAACCTCATTTCACTTCCATGTAAACCAAACAGGGCCTCCTAAGGAAAGGATCTGTCCAAGGAACGACTGTGAGTTCGACGCCGGAATAACTTCGCGCAACTTAGGAACCTACTTTTTCGCCTGTTGAATTACCTGGAGGTGTTACTTTTTGCGGCTGCGTGTTTATTTTAGACTTGACGGTCCGTAACTTCCTGCCGCCGCGCCGCGCCGTAATCATTGCAGGACCTTACCGCCGCGCCGTACCAAGGAAAAAAGCAGTATGAGCATATTCAAACGTTGCTGAATTCACTGTAGTATTAATAAAATACAATTTTTTCGGAGAACCTTCGGCATTTTCTCTTCTAATTTTTCAGGATTTTTTTCTATTCTTAAAATCTATGTAGTTTGTACACATTTCAAGGATAAATTCTCATAACCTCCGTATAAATCGATTATTTTATCCGTGTAAATTTGGCACCTTCCCAATTTTGTACGGCGTTCTTCCTCAGCCAGAGATGCAAGATTTCATGTAACTTTATGATATGAAATTTCATCCTGAAAGTTAAAACGTCTACAATGGACTCAGTATGTCATGACAGCATAAGAACAGTAAAATCATAATTTTGAAATTTTCAGATAAAAAGTATGAATCGAATTTCAAAGTTCCTTATTTTCTCGAAATTCTCGAATAATTGATGTGAGTTGCGCATATGCGGCCCCGGAAAAATCGTTGTTTCCAAATCTCTGTAGCACGGAAGCATGCATCTACGTACACATTGGGACGAGGCATAGAACGTGGAATTTTTGCCTAAAACCACAAATTTTGATGTTATTTTGTTAGATCATAAATTTCAAGACTTATGCCGCTTGAAAGAAATCTTAAGGTTTAACCAATGCTTATTCAATCAAACTAGCGAGTAAACTAAACCAATCACCAACAATTATTATCACCAAGAAGAAAAAAAAGTTTGCTGGGTAATAAAAATGACCTAAAACCTGAAACCTAACCTAACCCTCTAAATAACTTAATTAAAAATTCTAAAAAAGGAGAAAACCCAGCAATCTTCGAGCCTCCTAATTCTTTTCTCATCGCCTCCGGGAAGTAAGAGCTTTACCCGGGGCAGTTTGGCAGCAGTGAAATTTCACACGACGCTCTTTTTTAGCGCGGCGAAGCAGGTGATAAAATTCGGTTGGCACTCCGCGCCGCAGACCGCGCAGCGTAGAAATTAATAGGGCCCCGGGCTAGCCCGGGTGCGTGTGACCGGTGATGCCGGTGGTCAGTGCGAGGGGACTCGAATGATAATTTCGCGGGGGTCAAAAACACGGACGGGCCTCGTTAGAATCGTATGAATTAAGTAATCACGGTAATCGCTCAAACGCCAAATGTGAGGAAGGGTCAAGATACATCTGCCGTGCCAAGGAAAAACGCCGTATGAACCTTCAGGCGGTGCCGAATTTTCGTTGATGAAACACGGATTTCCTGGTAAAATTATGAATAGTTTTTTCCTAATTTTTCAGATACTTTAGTTCACAATTTCACATAAAGCTCCTGAAAATATCTAGGAAAAATATTCAGAACATGTCTTAAAAAATAAATAAATTATCGAAGGGAATTTGGCAACCCTCGAATGGACACACGGCGTTCTTTCTTAGCACGGCAGACACGGCAGAGGATGAAACTTACCACACTTGGAGTTCATTTTGCAATATACAGGGTGATCCAAATTTCCCGCACCACCCCTTTAATCCCTAGGGGTTTTTCCCTCTCCGAGAGATCCCCGTAAAGTTTTGGAGGATCCCTAAAGATCGCCAAAAGGTCGAGGCCCCCCACCCGAAAAAAAAACCCCGGCGCGGAACGAAGCGGAGAGCCGGTTTTGTTTTAAATTTCTCGGCTCAACACGCTCTTTTGACCTTTTGTAGAAGTGAGGAAATCTGAGACACTTGACGTTAAAGACCTTGTAAGAACCAACTGATTGCAAGCAATGTAATCGAATGTGGTAGAAGTTAAGTTCGAAAGTCAATGCTGTTTGCTGTCCCTGAAAAGGTCTGATGGAATACATGGCATGTGAAACCCGAAACACATAAGTGTATTTTGGCCAAACGAAAGTCGTCGCTCAAAATGAAAGTGTCGAATGAACAGACCACTGTTTCCATCCATTTTCAACGGAGTGCTGTTCAATCTTTAGAAAATCAGTTCGCCTTCAAATTTTCGCGTATGCAACACGGATATCCTTGGATCACGAATAGTTGCATCCAGGTTTTGCCACCAACGGCACGCGTATATCGACTGTTAAACTATGTAAGCGCGTGTCTCAAGAGCGGTGTTTTATAACTATGTGCGACTAAGAGTGTCGGCCACCACTTTGCTATCGCGACCTCAGTAGGACGTCATTTTCCTCGACCGGGATGGCTACTGCCACTCTTGATTTTCCTTTCACTTTATGTTTAAGAGAGCATCTTTTGACAGTTATAGTGGAAAAAAATGTGGTTCATTCGTCTGCATCCTCTTTTTTCCTCGTAAAAACCAGGAAAAACCACGGCACAGTAAACGGGCGGAATTTAAATACAACTGCGGCAGTTCCTTCAAGGGGAAAAATCTTGTGAGTTGTTTACAGGCACTAAGTGACGGGTTTGTCTAAAAATAAACGTGGAATAAAAGGATTACAGAGGGTATCCACTGTACGAAAAAATTACGAACGCACTGAAAAAGCATGAATTTTGTAAGGTCAATACCTACTCTCTATGACACTTTAAAGTGCTAAAATGGTCTGTTTGTGACAAAAAAAACCCCATTTGTGCGGCTTGTTTCTACTCGGATGCTGAAAATTTACTAAGTATGGTTTTTTGTTGTGTTTCAGAGCCCGCATCCTGAAAAATGAAGCTGCCTAACGAGCTGGTGACTGACATGAAGCTGATGTCGTCCATTTTGGATCGGTCATCCAGCACGTACATCATTTTGTTGGGCTCCAAAATTGGCAAAGAGGACATACGGCCTATTCCCGATTCCGAGTAAGTTTCATTTGTCGATGCTTCCATCGTGCAGTTGCGACAATTGATAATAGGTTTGCATTTTGATGGCTACCGCAAACTAACAATTTTACAGGACAAAGAAAGAACTTGGCCATTGTTTTATTTTTGGGGTCTGAATTGAATTTATTTTAATACATCAAAGCGTAATTGCAGCGCTCCCATGCGGTTTTGGACCAAACTAAAGATGTTAGCAATGTCAGCTATTTTATACTGTTGAATATACGGCAAAGTGGCTAACTCATTTTTGCCATTTTTCTCAATTAGGCGGTATTATTCTTTAGCCCTCAATTTTCCTTTTCGTAAGAAACTTTTTTTTCTTGTCGGAGTAAAGTTTCACCGAAAGAACTCAACAGGAATGTAAATTCGGCTGAGGCAAAAGTTGAGTCTTGTGAAAGAATTTTAGATTAGCGATTATTTGAATGTCTTTAGATTCATTAATTAATTAATCGATTGTTGAAATTTCCGTCAACTGTCTAATCGGTTATTTACTACTGATTAATTATAAGAATCAGCGCAAATTCTCCGAAAAGTTCAGTCTCAAGCCCCAAAGTGCTGATATTTCGTAGAATTTTGCTCTTGAAAGACCTTTATCAAGACAATTCATCTCATGAAGAAAGTTTTGCTCCGTAAAAACGAAAGTACATACAAGCTCCTATCAGTGGTCAAATAAATGTGGGTCTCCTCCGTGCCATTCTCGTAAATTCCCATTTCTTTGACTGTCAAATATTTTTTTTTTTTTTTTAATTTGATCGATTCATGTTGATTGATTTCAAACATTTTCCCCTCTTTCATTGGATCACATTTTGCAATACAATAAGGAACCACTATTTCTGGCTCATTTTAGAAACAGCATATATGCCATTGGTTTCGCTATTCAGAAAGGTGCTTATCTGGAAGATCCAAAGATAGTGGTTCCTTATTGCAAAATGTAATCCAATTATAAAAATGATCCTTTCCTGCATTTAATTTGTGTGTATATGTTTATTTTTACAATTTTTTTTTTTTTCAGTGCGATCAACGAGGAAGATGAGAAAGACACTCTGGCTTGCCAGAATTTGTCGAACTTACTCTCTCGAATTCAGATTTCTGATAAGGATTCTGTCGGTAAGTTATGCTTTCTTATTCAAATACTTTTCATTCCGAAGTGTTTCCAATGAAGTTATATTTACCAGGGACTACCCTTCTGCCGTGCTAAAGAAGAACGCGGTATGAGCCTTCAGACGTTGCCAAGTTTCCTTCGATTAAAACTGAATTTACTGTATAAATTGTAAATATTTTTCCCCAAAAATTTCAGACAATTTAGTGCGCAATTTAATCTAAAACATCTGAAAATTTGAAAGAAAAATGTGCATGAGTGTCGTCAAAAATACATGTTTTATCAAGGAAAATTTGTTAACTCTCGAATGTTCATACGGCGTTCAGGGCCGGATTCACCTACTTGCCGCCCATTGGCCGCCTGTATTTTGCCGCCCCCTTCTCATTCGATTCGTTTTGAAACTCGATAAAAACCATCAAGTGAACGTGCCAGCGGGGGAGGGGTGCATAAGATGCATTTACTAGTGTTGAACACATTTTTTGGGAAAGCCCTGTCTACACTACCAGCAAAAGTTCACGGAACTTTGCGCGAAAGTTAAGTCTTGTAAACCTATCTCTGTGTGGACAAGACCTTCCATGTTTGGCGCAAAGCGTGAAGTATTCAGACAGTCTTGTAGGCGCTATGCGTTTCACACCGACCGCTGCTGAACGCACTGTGTTGGACGCAATGCGTGAAGTATTCACGCAGTCTTGTAGGCGCTATCCGTTTCACGCTAACCGCATACCGCAATGATCGCACTGTGTTTGATGCAATGCGAGAAGTATTCGTGCAGCCTTGTAGGCGCTAATATGTGATACATGCCGATCGCCGCGCCGAGGGCTTCTCCTTTTCATTTCAAGTCCTCGTCATCATTTCTCTCTAAGTCTCTAAGTTCCAGGCCCAATTGCGTGTTTGGTTTCTCTCTTAACTCGACTAATTGAAGGTACTGTCTCTTGTGTCGCTGAGAGACGATAAAATTAGAGATTACTATACTCTCAGTAAATGAGAGATTTTGTTGCCTTTTTTCGTTTGTAATTTTTTTTGTCGAAATCAGATTTTTTCAATACCTACACTTAAAAAAATTGCAAATTTTGCCGCCCCTTAGATTTGCCGCCATGGGCCGCGGGCGGCCCATGTGGCCACCCCCTTGATCCGGCCCTGACGGCGTTCTTCCTTAGCAAGACAGACTTATACTCCTTTACTTTTCCTGTTGGTTTCATTGGGCACCGTAAAACGCAATGAGCCTAAATCGGTTAGAGAGCGGTGCAGACTTTGGTTGTTCAACGAGATCATGTTTTGCAACAATAGAATGGAGAAACGTTTCATCGTCTGCAGGGGACAAGGAACGGTGCATGCCGAAAGATTCACATCGATCATTTTAAGTAGGAAATATGAAATTGCTACCTAATCAAAGGAAGCTCGTTGTTAAATTATAATAATTAAACACATTGGCAGCAAACATTCTAAAAAATTAACATCGAATACTTTAAAGGAAAGTATGGAATTCGCTTACCATATCTCATGGAACTAATTAATAAATTCTTGATTGAGCATAATGTCAACAAACACTCCAAAAGATAAACGTGGAAAATGATAAGAGAAGTATGAAGTCACATTACAGGGAGCTAATTGTTAAATTCTTGATTGAGCATAATTTCAACAAACGCTGTTTAAAATCTAGGAGTTCATTCACCACTACTACTAGCTCCTTGCGAGGTAAAATAACGCGGAGTTCAAATTACTCGTTGTTCATTAATTGAACTACGCTACTGAAGTTGCTTCGACTCTGGTCCGTAATTGCATGCACTGCTCCTTTTTCAACACCGAATCCAACTCAAAATAAACGAGTAATTTCTAACTGTGAATTGACATGCTTGAATGTTGTCAACAAATGATGACACCATGTTGACACCATGATCGTTGACACCGAACTGCGTAATCAACTCGCGGAGCTCACAAATTTCCGAATTTTTTAGAGCGGTTTCGCAGATTAAGTTATCGTGACTTAAGCTTAATACCTCTTGAAATCCTTGAATTCCCGTTAAGAGCTAGTATCAGTATGACGTTGAATTTACGTCCTACGTTATCAGAACTAAACAGATACTACGGCTCATTGACAAGATACCTCGATTATGATGGACGCAGGGACTAATCGTCGCCTGAAGTGGGCGTCTCTCCTCTCTCGTAGCGCCGCGACGCTTTTGTATAAAACGACATGCATGTAAAAATCGTAGTTTATTTGTCACTCGAGTATCAATGGGTCTAACGGAGCCTATCCTAGTGCCTCTGATCCCGAACTGGGCGACAGGTAAGAGTGTGCGTGAGTGCTGCGAAGAGTTAAAGATGAAGTAATTTTAAAAACGTCATTTGCTTTCTCGGATTTTGAAATGGAGTGAAAATAAAATCAGTGGATGGTGGTCAATGTTTTGTTATTTTACGATTGTTTACAGTCGAGTCAGTGGTTACCAAGTTAGTTGCGCGTGTTACGGTCAAGGAATCAGTTTTTCTACTTTTCAAATGCATGTATGCGTATAAATAATACCAAAGCACCAAAAACTAAATGTTCGATTTTTTGGTGCTTTAGTATTTTTACGAATGACCGATTCATACAATCGCTGCCTATCGAGTCAAATGTAAACAGAAACATAACCTCGTTGTGATTTCACCGGGATGATTGAATGCGTCGAGGAGTCTCTCGCTTGAGTACACCTGAGTTGTATCTGTGCAGAGATCAATAATATTGTCATGTCTTTGCCGCTCTCTACTTAACTTGGCTCTAGAGTTTTTTGATTAATTAATTAATCGATAAACCGAATTTTTCTATCGTCGAAAATGCAGTATAGATTAATAATTGAATAGAATCAAAATTAATAGATTGATCGACTATTTAATCAAATCAATGTGCATGTTTTAAAACAGTAATTTTTCTTTCAAAATAACAACCTGTATCTCATGCCTGCCAGGGTTCGTAGGTGTAAATCAGCACTTGCTCTTAATTTGAGAATCAAACATCATAAACGTTGAACATATTCGATGATAATTTAGCGAATTTCGGCACAGTTATCTCAGTATTTTCTCCCGAAGTCCTGTTTCTTCATAATGTATCGCCTTCATTGGGTTTTTCGCTGAAGTTTTTAGAAGTTGTGTGCTGGTTTTTAGGAATTTGACATTGGAATTCGGAAATTTTCTATTTCCGACTGTACATATGTTTATGAAATATTGCACAGTGCAGGATGCTTATATAGCGACCGGAAAAACTGGGAGAACGAGGGAATGTCAGGAAATTTTTTGGGTGTCAGGGAAATCAGGGAAAACGTCAGGGAATCTGCGAAGATTCGGCAAGTCCGGGCATTTTATTTTGCAAGCGATTTCATTATCAGACAAATCGATAAACACGGATTTTTCGGCAAATTTTTTGCGAAATTTACTTTTGCGGAGATTTATACCAGAATTTCTGTTGATGTCTTTCAAATTTTAAAAATGAGGCAAAAATATCTCGCTTAAGTTTAGTCACCACATATTTTGCTCTATTTATTACATTATATTCCTAAAACATGAAAAAATCCTTACTTACATCTAATTAGTTCAAACGTGTCGAGAAATCACACATTTTTTCCTTTTTTCCGAGGAAATGTTAGGGAATTATTTTTCCGTCTGTCAGGGAATTGTGAATTTTTCCCCGGTTTTTTGGCCGTTTATGTCAGGGATTTCAAGGAAATGTCAAAGAATTTTTTTTTTCTTGAAAATTGCTAGACACCCTGCAGTGATGCAATTGGCTTTCGAACAGTATTTGGTCCATTTTCTTAAAAAGCCTCTTTTGACATTTTCTCTTTGATATAAAGTCAGTATTCCGAGTCGCCGAACGTCGAAAATCACTGAAAGTAACTCGCAGGCTCGTGTCCCGACTTTCACATGAAATCAAGTCGAGCAGGTTTGCAAATCTCGGGTCCTTTCGCGAACTTTATTGCCGCCTTTTCCTGTCGATTCGCACCGAAACCGAACCTCACTGATTGCCCCTGGTTCACTCCTCACTCTCGATCCGCCCTGGTAATCAAAAACGACGCAGCTCCTATCGAGACCATATGAGCAGTTACGCGGTATTATCGTGTGTATCTTCGCTTCTCTGTAGCTTCCGAGTATCGAAACTTTAGGGCAAATGTAGCGCGATCCACAGTGGAGAGATTCATGGAACCGGACCGTCTCGACGCACAGTAGGACATATTATGTGGACTGCATTTTGCAATTAAGAAATACGATTTTTGGCTCAGTTTTAAAACAACGTATGTATCTTTAGTTTCCCTACTCTGTCGTGCTAAGGAAAAACGCCGTATGAACGTACGAGAGTTACCAAATTTTCCCGGATAAATATGTATTTTTTGAAAAATTTAAAGAAAGATATTAAAAATGTTTCCATTTTTTATCGAAGGAAATCTGGCATCGTCTATTAGCTCATACGGCGTTTTTCCTAATCACAACAGTCCGTACATAAGTGTTTTTGCGGATGATCCGGAAATTGTAGTTCTTAATTGCAAAATGAAGCCCATTTGCCCCCAATAGGAACTATGCACATATGGTTAAATGCAACATAGTTCCTCTTAACGTAAATACGCCCTATAGTCGGAAAATCTTATGAAACCAGACTGGAATTTTAAAGAAAACTGAAACTCAAAATCTGGAAAAAGGCAGAAACAAATACTTTAGCATTGTCAAACTGAGTCTTAGTCTGGTTCGGCGTTTAATTATTTCTCTATTGCTCTCTAAATACTCTCGAACTAGTGAACAAAATAATGATTTTCATCAGGTTTTTTCTAAAATCGACTTTTCGCGGTTATGCCTTTCTCTCAATAACCAGTTCAATTGTCTTCGTCGAGTTCGCGCAATCCCTTGCCCACCCAAAAATGATTACCCCCCCCCCCCCCAAAAAAAAATGAATAAATAATAAAATACATTTTGAAAAAACAATCCGGCGGAATCAAAGCTTTAATCGCCTGATCTCTAGGGAACTTCTTTTGTAGAGAGCGTTCACCCAGTAAATAATTAATTAAGGAGACGAACTATTAAAGACCTCCTTAAGTGATACTAAATCACGGAGAACGCTAATCATTCAGAAGGGAAACCTCAATTAAAACCATATTAAGGCGCTTTTGATCCTGGAGTGGGGGATGGACCGACTTTTAAGAGGATATTAAAACTCTTCGCACTTTCGATTTTCCCCCTAATACGACTTACAGCCAGTGAAAATCAAGAAAGAAGGAAAGTCTCGCACTTTTAGCATCATCGTGAAGGGAACGGCGTCATTTTGGATGCCGCCCAGGGAATGTGAGCCAGGGTAGTAATATGAAGAACCGTATTACCCGAGATTATCACAGGGGATTGTATTGGCATCAGAGAAGACCTCTCAAGGAATTTGCAAAAGTTTTGTTGATCGCCGAGTTTCTTTTGTGGAATCATCAAGTCACCATTTTCGTGTTCAGATTTATCGGGAATTTCACGGAAATACCACAGAATTTTTTGTTTCAAAAAAGTTAGTCCAGATCTCCAAATTTCAAGACTACAGGGTTGCCAGCGGTCTGGAAAACCGGGAAGGTTAGGGGTTTTGAAGTTCGGGGGTGCCTGGATTTTACAAGGAGCACTGAGCAGAATTGAATGTATAACTTACGTAAAGAGAAAAAAATTGTATTCGAATGTCAGAAAAAGTCAGGGATTCCGAAAATTTTGGAGACAGGGAAAATCAAGGAATTTGAAGATGAAGAAACATGGCGACCCTGGTATCAACCACCCCCCCCCCCCCCCNAGCGGGAGATCCGGGGAGCTCTAAAACCATACAGTTTGAATTCCTAGGGGTCAATTACCTCGACTATTATCTTTTTCGAACAATCTACGTCAATTTTGCGGCAAAAAAGCAACTCGTGGGGGGGAGGGGGTTACCTCTCTCTAAGGCGTCATTTTTGGACGTTGGGTGGACCTGTCTTAGGGGTCAGGTTTGGTTGCAATTTTTCGTACTTTTCAGTTTTGATGCAATCAATTTGTGTTTTCGTCTAAAATCACGATTTTTTTAAGACCCCTCGTCTCTCTTCCAAGAGAGCCTGAGGGGGCTGCGGAATTATGAAAATCGGATTCCCTGGGGTCCTCCTATAACGCCCTCCTGTTCTCAACTTCAATAGACTGAAAATAATCGAGAGAGAAGCCTCGTATTGGTTATCTGGGACACCCCGTATATTACCATCGGAATGTTCCACGTTCAAAATAAACCTTTCACAATAATGCACATCTGCATTTTAAGTGGATGTTAGGAAGTGTAAAATGTCGTGTGGGTGTGGGGTTCAAATCGATCACTCACAGGCATCTGAGCACCCCCCCCCCCCCCCCCCGAAGGACGAAGACGCGCCTTGTCACTCCAAAGTGCATTCACAAAAATGCTCGTATCTCAAGATCCAATCATTTCCATGTGAGCTATGATAGATCTTTGGATGCAGACTAAAACAAAGAATCGCGCAAATAAATTTATTTCCAAGTAACAGAATAAGGGTTGTTTGCTGTTAAAGAGTTTTCGAAATTTTAGAAATTATAAAATTGAAAATTACAGTATGGCTTTAAATTATTGAAGCACCCAAAAGTTGAACCTATCATTATAGGATAATGAGAATGAAAAAATAGGTGTCTTTTACTATTTGCGAGTTTACCCAATTGTAGAAATTCGAAAATAAAAAAATAGCAACATGGCATATTTATTAAAGCACCCTCACGAAAAAATGTAACTCCATTTCAATTTTGCCAAATTACCTCTCGTCAATTGAATTACCAGCCATGAAAATCTTGGGCATTTCCAACTTAAAATTTCAGTGATTTTTCCTCAGATTTCATGCGGAAATCAGAACATTTTGGATAAAAATTGCACGGATACATTTTTAAAATAGATAAATTGTTGGGGTCAGTTTGGCAAATTTAGAGTGGAGTTACGTTTCTTCGTCTGGGATACGACGACTTGTTTGGTATGGTTTTTAATTTTGAGCGGAGTGTTCTGATGTCGATGGTTTTGCTTTGATCCGTTTGGACAGGAATCACAAAAGTGGACGATCTTATCTCGCGGAGCCCTGCCCGATCTAGCGTCAACTACAAGAAGACATCACGGCAGAGTTTGCAGCCCTACCCGGCAGCCGCCGACCCACATCATCAAAGGCTCGCTGCCATCAAAACTGGCGACTGCTACCTTACCTCTTCTTTACTTGCTCAAGATGTAAGTGCCCACATCATTTTGGTTTTAATGGACAAAATGGAGCGATCCTATTGGTTGAAACGGGTGGTTCTTAATAGACTATGGGGAGAAAATACGGATGAAGCATACGCTGGGAAAAAAGTCTCTTGGATCCAAAGAGTCCAACCTCTTAAAAAAATTATCAAGAAAAATATTCTTGACTTTTAATCGAATTTTTGCTTGAATTAAGAGCTGCCAAGCCTCTAATTTAAGCGGATTTCCTTTTGATTCAAGCAAAAATGCATAGATTCAAGAGTACTCTCTCGTCACATTTTGTAAAGACTGTCAACTGTGGATAGCAGAGACTTTTTTCCAGTGTAGGTTTTCTCATTGGTTCCTGTTAGTTATTCTATTACATATTACTCCCTATGTCCATCACAACCACCGCGCACCGTTTCAATCGATAGGATCGCACGATTTTCCCTTTATTTTCTTCGTCTATGACTTGGCCTATCAATTTCAATAATCAGCCTGCTAGAAGATGTGACTTCTATCGGAAAACAAAAAATATGAACAGATCTATGTGATTCGATCGACACCAATTCCATCGAAAAATCCGTGAATCAATCTATAAAAGCCGTGAGTCGATCTACAAATCCGTGAATCCATCAATGTGCAACACCGTGAGTCGATCGAACTTTGTAGATTGAGTCGCTTGTCGATCGGTTGACATGTTTATTTCGGTCGATTTATGTCGATCGAATCCATATACCCTGCTGTCCACATCATTTCGATTTTGAATGTTCATATCATCCCAGAGCTGGCGGGTATAAAAGCATCGTATGTTAATTTTCGTGGAAGTTTGAAAGGGAAATTAAGGTAGAAAATAATAAGCATAAATGACTTCAAAGGAGGCTTAATCAATAGGCAGGAAAAATCCAATTTTTCAGCCTAAAAAGGTCGGCGAGTCCAAGTACGTCTAATTTTTTAATTTCCGACGGAGTAAGAAAGGGGAATTTAACTGAAAAATAATGAAATTAGAAACTTTAGTCCTGCGCGGAGGGTTAATTCTTTGGCTGGAGAGAAGTCGTAAATCGTCGAGTTATTTTTTTTCGGGGGTTTCCATGTGTTCCATTACAGTTTACCCGTAGGTAGGTATCAAACATGGATTCCCGGGAATGTGAAAAATTTCCAGCAGAGAATCAGCAGGTGTCTAAAAGTCAATTAATTTCATCCAGAAATGGAAACTTCTGATTGTGAGCGAGATGAACTCGCGGAGATGTCCTCGATTTTAATTGAACATATTTTGCAGCAACATAACAGGATGATGATGTTTGCTTTAAAACACACGCGCGTTCGAATGAAATAAACCACCCTATGACGTCATTAAACTGCACGTTTTTTTCACATCTAAACTAACTCCATTTTTCACGTCGGAAAAAATCGTCAAAAAATACAGTCATCTCTGCTCATTAGCACTTTCAATCCATCCAAGAAAAAAAATCCTCGCGCGAACTCTCAATTAGACGTATTTATGCTAAAAGGAACTATGTGCATAGGGTTTTGCGTGCAAAATAGTTCCTTTTAGCATAAATACGTCCAATTGCACCTATTCTACACGAGTGACACTGTGACCTGGATGAGTGGCAAAGATATTCTGTCGCACTAAGGGAAAATGACGTATGAACATTGCCAAAATTTGCCAAATTTCCTTTGATAAACTCCAAATTTCTCGATAAGTAATTTATGCGTATTTTACTTTGAATTTTTAACAGCGTTTTACAGGGTTGCCTCAGTCAGGGAAAACCGGTAAATGTCAGAGAATTTTAAAAAGTCAGGGAAAATGACGAAAATGTCAGGGAAAATTTGTTAAATCGTCTTCATTTGCTTTCTAGAATGGGTTTGAGGTTTTCGAACAACAAATTTTGCCTGAAAACTATTTTCAATTATACCTTCTTAACCATCCGTCACATCTTCAATTGTCAGGAAATTTCACCAAAATGTGTCAGGGAAATCGGAGAAATGTTAGGGAATTTCATTTTCTTAATTCTGTGGTAACCCTGATTTTACTCTTCATTCATCTTGAACTGCTGAAAGCACTGGAAAAAGTTAATAACCTCCCTTGAGAACAAATAATAATTTATAAGAACGAGTCTGCGTATAGGTCAATTGGATTTCATTTTGCAGTAAATAACAAATACTTTAAGCTCATTTGAGAAACAACGTACGTGCTATTGATGTTCCTGTTCAGAAAAGTATTACTTCATCTCCTTTCATTTTCACGATAAAAATTAGTAATAGTTTACTTTATCGGCACAATTCGCGACGCTAAAATGAAGCTGAGATGTGAGATAGACAAGCATAGCACCCCCAGTCAGTATCGCATGCGACGAACACTCAACGAATTTCATTACAACGCCTTGATGCCACTATTCGGGCTCCACGGATGTCCGTGTTGCATACGCGCTGAAGTGAAGGCGTTTTTGCCCTCCCGGTAGTCATCGCTTCACCCGCGGCGCGGGATGAACTGCGAGGAGCCAAAAAGATAGAGAACATTCAATTCTTTGTTTCTACTACCTAGATTCCTCTTAGGCACAAATAATAACTCTACAAATTATGCTCAGCGCATCGCTATTTCAAAACTGAAATACAAAAGATCCTCACATGCTATACGCATGCGTGCAACCATACATACGTAGGAGTTGTGCAAACGAAGAATTGAAGGCGCTCCGTCATTGTGGATTCTTGCGTTACGACCCGCTGCCGCACCGCGGATGAGGTGGTGCCTGGAGAGTCAAAACGCCTTAACTTCCGTGCTTATGCAACATGGACATCCGTGGCGTTCAAATAGTTGCATCAATGCGTTGTAATGAAAGTCGCCGTGATTTCCCCTGTTCGTTACTTTGCTTGATGTTTTCACGCCTCAGCCTAATTCCAGCGTTGCCCGTTGTGCCGATGAAGTAAACTATTTCTGGTTTTTATCTTAAGATTGTCAATCGTTCAAAAAATTATTTAATTGTTTAAATGTCTTATCCACAACGTTGTTCTTTTTAGAGCAGAAGCATCGTATGTTGAGACAAATGTCAATCTCTGATCTTCTCAGAATCTGCACCACTCAACAGGTTAATACATGCAGTCAGATGATAAACAATTCTTGACGTTTGTCTCAACATACAATGCCTCCGCTCATATTTTTGTTTTTGTGGATAAGTTATATAGAAGTCCAGTCAAAAGTAAATATCAATCGCGTCTCGCGCAAAATTCAGGCATTAGACAGATAACTTCCACATTCTAGCCACATTCAACATGCAATTCCGGCTTCGTCTCCGACGCAAACCTTTTCCCCCCTAATGTTCACGCGGCGTTTTTCCTCAAAGCGGCAGAATTTAGGCAAGTACCGGAGGCACCCGGTACAGCTGACAAGCATCAATTTATATGTAACGCTAGTAACACGGCGTATTTTTTCTATCGAGCTAAAGTCACGACGGGTTCAAGTTCCAAGTTCAAAAAACGCAGTTGCGTCGCGAGGAAAAGTGCTTTAAAGTGTCACTCGGCCTCGTTCGGAGGATTAAAAGCCATGACGTCAAAAAAAACTGCAATGGAAAAATTCAAAAATGCCTTGTTTCGCTTCGTCGAGATCGGAATTCCTTCTCGAGTGGACGATCGCGAGACTTTTTCCTGTGAAAAAAGAAAGAAAAAAACTGCTGTCGTCAAAAAGGGTCTCGAGTGGCCTATATCCGGTCGGACTCGGAACAGTCAAGTGCCTCCGTTCCTCCCCGCTCCCCGCCCGCGGTTCAAAATACGTAATTCCCGATGTTATGTACCAGGAATGCCAACCAAATAAACAGACTTCCTCAAACGCTCCACGCGGCCGCAACGTCAATCGTGAAGAATTCGTCGAGGGCTCAAGGTGCTCGCAATGCAAGACTCAGTGACTTCATCTGCTTTTAACAGAGCTGCCGGCGGTCTGGAAACCGGGATAGTCAGGGAATGGGCGGCGATTGGGAAAAGTCAGGGAATGGGCGGCGATTGGGAAAAGTCAGGGAATGGGTAGCGATAGGGAAAAGTCAGGGAATTGGCGGCGATTGGGAAAAGTCAGGGAATTGGCGGCGATTGGGAAAAGTCAGGGAAAGGGCGGCGATTGGGAAAAGTCAGGGAATGGGCGGCGATTGGGAAAAGTCAGGGAACGGGCGGCGATTGGGAAAAGTCAGGGAACGGGCGGCGATTGGGAAAAGTCAGGGAACGGGCGACGATTGGGAAAAGTCAGGGAACGGGCGACGATTGGGAAAGTCAGGGAATGGAAGGCGATTGGGAAAAGTCTGTGAATTTAAGGGAAAAGTCAGCGAATTTCCGTCACATCTACTAATCTCTAAAATAAAATCAACAACTTAAAATTGGACCAAGGCCGCAAAATATAAAATAAAAAACCGGGACGTTTCACAGTTCACAGTTCTCATTTTCACATATCCAGTTTCTGGCTCATCCGGAAGAACACTTATATGCGTAGGGAAACAATGGTACTTACGTTGTTTCTAAATTGAGTCAGAAATTGTAGTTCCAAATTTTAAAATGCGGTCCATTTAAAATTTATTATTTCTTGAAGATGCCAAAAATTCCTCGATGCACGTACTATATATACCGCTACCATCAATTTATTCTCAAGGTCATCTGAGACTCTGGCGTCACGCGTCACAATTCGACGTATTGTTACTGAAAGGAACTGTGTACGTACGGTTTACGTGGAACATAGTTCCCTCTAGCATAAATACGTCCATTCACGGAAGCTTGTTCGAAGCGTGTGAGTACTCACCAACACGTGTCTGATGAATAATATCATGTTAGAATGGCCTTCGAAAGTTCGGTGACGTTTATCGTCGAGTCGAACCCCCCAAACAATCGCAGCCGCCCCGAAAAAAATATTTTTTCGGGAAAATCGCAGCTGTCACGAAAAAATATTTTTTTCACTGCCCTCTGTATTTTCGGGAAATTAACCGTCTCCGATTCCACTGCGGCGCGGGCGGGCCACGATTTTTACTCCGTAC